GCACATGTTCTGGTCAATTTAGGAGTGGACGTGTTCAGAATTGACAGGATTATCAGCAATTTCGGCCTTCCTATGGGACCCTTCCTGTATTTTTCTTCTGAGAGAATTCTAAATAATGCGTGAATGCTTTCTGTGTTTGTTTGTTTGCCTAACATTTTCTTTTATGCTTAACACTAATGGAGGTCCATCTGTCCAGTAGATTAAATGTTAACCTGGCATGTGTTCTTTTGGAGATCCATTTCAAAATAATGCAGGTTAACTTAAATGTTGGTACCCTGCATAGATGATGAAAACTTATGCTTCTTTATTTCATTGCCTTGCAGTCTTCAGGATTTAGCAGGATATGGAGTAGCCTTGGCTGTTGGGAAAGAATTTGCAAATGCTTTCCCTGATCGAACATTCAATTCCCCATTGGTTGATCTCATGGTGAAAGATGGACGAAATGGTAAAAAGAACTTCCATTGCTTTCACATTGTTTCCCCCTCCATTCACATTGGTCAAGCCCGTTTCAAGTCTGTTACTTGTGATGTATTTCAATTCTGGCATTTCAGGAAAAAATAATGGAAAAGGATACTACATTTATGAAAAAGGAAGCAAGCCAAAACCTGATCCTACTGTGCTGCCTATCATTGAGGAGTCTAGGCGGCTTACCAACATTATGCCTGGTGGAAAGGTACTGTTTCTTTGCTTTAAAAAAGATAAGCATTAAAGTGTTAATCTGAACTCTGTTAACTTGATTTTGTGTGGGCCCTGTGGTGGTTTGTTATGTAAGGATACTGACCATCTCTTTTTTGCTTCTCTTGAATGATGGCTAATGTATTTTTTGGTTCATTCTTATTCGGCAGCCTATATCTGTTACTGACAAAGAAATTCTGGAGATGATACTTTTTCCCGTTGTTAATGAGGCTTGCCGTGTTCTTGATGAAGGAATTGTAGTTCGAGCATCTGACCTTGATATTTCATCTGTTCTTGGAATGAGCTTCCCATCTTACCGGTAAGTGCTTCAGCAACAGCTGCAACATTAATTTCTTCTACCATACCTATCCAAAGTATGCATTGTTCTCAAGTATCATTTGGGGTTATTGGCTTACTATTATATCTTTCTATATCTCACGACAATGATGTGCTGTGGCAGAGGGGGCATCGTGTTTTGGGCAGATAGAGTTGGGCCAAACCATGTGTATACAAGCCTGAAGAGATGGTCGGAAATGTACGGTGGCTTCTTTAAGCCATCAAGATATTTGGAAGCAAGAGCCAAGAAAGGCATGCTGCTGGTAAGAACTTACTCCTTTTTTTCTCTTTTTTCTTTTTTTTTTTTTTCTTTTTTGAACAGCAGAACTTGCTTTCTTTTGTTACACTTAAAATTCTTTGTTCTATTATTAGTATGATAAACTAAAAATAAAATATACTCGAACTCAACCCCATTCCGCTTTAAGAAATAGGCTGCTTTACTATCTTCATCTGATCAGTTTCGTTGTAACTTTTCATCTCTATTTCTCTTGTGATACCATCTTTTCGTTTGTCTATGTGCAGAGTGAACCAGCCTCATCATCTCTGAAATCAAACTCAAAGCTGTAGGCATTATTCATTCTTCATCCTAAATTAAGCACATTGTGGCTATATGCAATAAGCATCTGCGTGAGACTTCTTTCAAAATTTTCGTGGCTATGTTGTGTTGGAATGCGCCATAAACCATTTGTAAGACGAAAGAAAAATATCATCTGAATAAAAGATTTTATTGGGTCATATGTTTCGTATTCTGCCTGACTCCTAATAAATGCATGGATAATGAATATATGAAAAGTTGTTTTAGCCCTAAATCAAAGTACTTCGATCTGCTAGATTGAAAATTGTACTCTCTCCATGAATTCTGCCTTTTCATAGGAAGGCCATTTTTGTAAATTACTCTTTCATTTTGGTTCTCCGCCTCTTGGACAAACCTTCATCATCTTGTAAGCTAGTCCCTTGATATGTGAAAGTTGATGGATGATTTGAATCAGTTAGAACCCAAAATGACCACATGAAAAAAATTTTATATTTACGCAAGCAAACTATGTTAACAAAAGATTGTTTGGTTAACCAAGAGAAAAAAGAAGAACTATGTTAACTTAAAAATAAAAAAATTAAAATTAAAAAAAGAAGAAGAAGGAAGAAAGAGAGAAAGAAAGAAAACAACTGTAATAATACTAGTAGTATCATTTAGTAGTAATTTTTTTTTAGTGAAAGATTTTGAACTTAAATTGCATGGTACGTGGGTAAAATGAGTTAAAAAATAAGATAGGGTTGTTTTTTATTATAAAATTAAGATAAAAAAAATAAAACTATGTCTAAAGATTAAAAAAGTAAAAATTAAGACATTTTAACATTAAAAATGTTAAGCACATTTAATTGAACCAAATAATAAATGGGACTTAGGTGAGACTTATATTATATCTCACTCATGTTCATGTTTTTGCCCTTGACCGTGCAATACTTTGTATAAAGCTTTCCTTGACCGTGCAATACTTTGTATAAAGCTTTCCTTCTATAATTTATGAATTTTTATAGTAATCTCATGTGGAGCTTATCATAGTATTTCTTTTAATACAACTGCTACATTTTGTCTGTATCTTATGCTTATATAACTCTATCTTTGTGTTTTGACTTATGCTCTTATAACTCTATCTTGGTGTTTTGATTTGTGCACATCATTTTCTTGTGATATGTTAATTTCTAGTAGAAATTTCATTTTGACTTGCATATGATCTTTCGTGGCTGGAAAGTCCTTTTTTTTTTTAAACAAGATTTTTACATGTTATGTTTCATGACTATTTTTTTGTAGGCTTCATTTTGAATAGTTTACCACTTGAATTTATTTAGTATTAAGTTAACCAAATAATATTTTCTCTGCTTATTTGGTCACTTAAAGTAATAATTTAAACAAGAACGTTCTTGTGATTTAATGATTACCTCATTCTTATAAAGGACTTCTCATATTAAACTTAAAAGTGTGGGGTTTGAGTTCCACCCTCAACGTTAAAAAATGATAATAATAATGATTTAAACTATGTCCTTCAAGCGTTATTTTCTAGCTATTCATTGATGTGCTTGAATGATATCAAACATTCTTGCTAGAACTTCTCTTCGTGAACTTAGTCAGATGGAACCAATGTGCAGCATATGTCATGTTCTCTATCTACTTTTCCTTATACCGCAACATGATTTTAAATTTTGACTCTTAGCTATTACTTATCTCTATAAGTTGTCTTTGTTATAGATGTCTTTACCTAATTTACATGGGTAAGTATGATCATCTTGATTCATTTACTTTGTCCATCCTAGTATATATATACTTGCTTGATTTCCTGATCTATTTAGTTCTGTCTTTTAGCTTGAACCTATTGATCTCTGGTTCTAAACTCTAAAGTTGCCATAATAGCGTGGTTCTGCTCATGGATTTATTCATACTTCTCTTTATACGGAATCTATTTTTCTTTGATAGCTTCTTGGTTCAATAGTTTTTTCTTTATCTCATTCTCTTGCAAGTGAGCTTGATTTGCCTAATTGTTTTAAGTTTATTTGTAGTATATCTCAAGATCTTTTATGCACTATATCTTAATATTTAAACATTGCTACAACTTCATATGTAAATTTATACTCCATGCTCGCCCTTTTTATGTTGCTTGCTTATTATTTAATTTATTGATGTAATAACTAGTAAGCACCATGTTACAACAACGGAACCTCAAACATTGATCAAGGTCTCTCTTATACTAACATTTTCTTGA